TCCGCATAGGCCCAATCCGAATACTCGAACCTAGTAACTAAGCTCAAGTTGGGGCCTATGAAAGGAATCTATATATTATATATCCGGTTAATGTAGAAGGTATATATTGTAATAAGTAAATATAAGAAGGGTAGGATAATGTGTTATATATCTTCACATGATATCAGAGCTAGGTTCATCTTAGCTTTGTCCATTCTTCATACCTGAAGCAAGGTTATCCTATCTGTGGCCATTCTTCGTCCCTGAGGCATTGTCGCTAATTTTCAAGACGAATCTGTTGCTCACCTAATCGGTGCAACTTCTGTCGAGTCATGTTTCGACTCTATGCTGAGCAGTGTTTCGATTTTCTTATATGTTCTATACATCGAGTTATGTTTCGACTCCCTGATCTGTCTCTATGTTGAGCCGTGTTTCGACTCTAATCTGTCTCTATGTCTAGTCGTGTTTCGACTCTTTGTTCTGTCTCTATGTCGAGTCGTGTTTCGACTCTCTGATCTGTTTGATCTTTTCCAAAAGTTCTAATTTTTTATATATGTTTTTAAGATCCTCGAGTTGAACACCCAACTCAAAGATATACCGGACTTGCAAGGGGTGAGCCCGAGCAAGCTCGGTCGAGTAATCAAGCACTGACAATACCAACCCAAAGTAAAAGTAGGGTTTGCCCTTCATGACCGAAAAACAAAACTCTGCCTGCCACGGTTCTTTTTTGAACTTATTTCAAAATTCAACCTAATAGCACGTGACATTCCGCATCCTACGTATTCAAGGGTCACATGGATTTAGACCTAATATGAAGGATCGTAAATCTCCCTTTTTCTGGTTGAAGACTTGTATTAATCCTTTCTTTGGTTGAATCTCGTATTCACCAAATGTTTACATATTCTTTGTTTATAACAAGAGATAAAGAGGCAAGTTGGAAGGCCCACCTCCTCATATGACAATAGGTAGGTGATATATAGATTATAGGTTTTACTATAATAATTTGATTTTTCCCTTTCAAATCTTTATAGAATAAGACGCGTTCTTATTAGTACAACTAAATATTTTATTGTTAAATAATTCTTCTCAATCATACTCTATGTCTAAAAATATCACGTTCATTGCGTAAGCTCTAAGCCTCCCTCTAATTCACACAAGACATAATATTTCATATAAAATACCAAAAGAAGGGAAACGTTTGTAAACATAATATTTCATATAAAATACCAAAAGATGGGAAACGTTTGTAAAAAGGTGAGGCCCTAAACAATCAAATTAAAGCGCAGCTCAAAAATTCATTAAAAGAGGTTGTTTTTATGCTAAAAAATCCTCAAATCTATCATCTCAACCTCAAGATGTATGAACATTATTTCAAGTCTTAAAAATAGTGCACCTTGTAATATATTTTTTGGACTGTCAATTTTCAAGATTTTCAAGTGTTCATAGATTAGCTCAATCTACATTAATTTTGAATCTTTAAATTTTATAATTATATAAAAATAAATTTCAAACCATCGTAAAGATAAGGTACACCTCAAAAATCCATCGAAAAAGGCAAATTTGATATTGAAAAACTATTTACTCGATCAACTCCGTCATCGAGATGTATGGATATGATAAAAAATATCCCTTACAACACATTATTTGGACCATCCATTTTCAAGATTCTCATACATTTATAGATCTACTTTAATTTGAACCATTTTTTAAGTTTAAAATTTTATAATAAAGATGAAAATAGGTTGTTAGGCCATCCTAAAAGTGTTTTACACGAAAATTGTATCTCATGACAAGATTTGAAGGTCCGCCCTACTTTGATTGTTTAACATTGCAACCAAGGTTTTAAAATTTGGCCATCCAGATGGGATTTGGAGGTGAACGAATCGGATCTGTTAATATTTGGGATTCCACACGATCCCCCAGAATCGCTATTTTACTATAGAGACTCGGCGGCAATTCGCTGCAATAGAATCGTCAAGTCACACATTGAGACACACTAGGTCACGGGTTGAAGCATTTCTCAAGATGCTTGTTGATTCCTTTTTTTGCCGTATTTTGGCATTTTGGAGTGAATATTTGATCGAAAGTTTTGTATTATGACTATAAACAATATTTTGGGAATCAAACATGCATAAAACAAAAAAATTCAATCGATTGAAATGGCAGTTTTTTCACCGGTTTTGAATTTTTGTCATTCTTTCAATTTAATCTTCAATACCTTTTTTTTGGGTGAAATTTGATCTGTTTGAAAGATAATCGAAGCTTTTACTGGATATGTGTGTTGATTTGTTCGATCTACAAAAGATTGAAGGTCGATTGTTACTCGAAACAATGCTACTAAAAAAACATGAGATCGATCCAAAATTATAAATTTCGATCAATTTATAGCTCGTTATGGATAAAATTGAGTTGTGGTTTTCTATCACCGAGGTTTCATCTTTCATATAAAATCGGTAAATTTATTTATCATTGAGTTTTTTGTTTCTAAAAAGTTTTTCTTGCTAGTAATGGATGAAAAGTTTATGGATTTGAAGTTTCCACTACTCTTTCGGTTAAATCTTCAATACCGAAATTTGTTTTATGAAATTTAGTATGTTTGAAAGATAATTTAAGCTTTTACAATGTATGTGTGTTGATTTTTTCGATTATCATAAAATTGTGAGTCAATTTTTGCTCGAAATGTTGGTCAACTTTAAAGGTTTTTGAACAATCAATTTTTCTAAAGAAAAAAATATTTTGCTTAATAAAATTATGTCTTTTGATAAATATGGGAATAAGTACTTTTTCCTATTTTATAATTATCTTCAATTTTATCTTTTGACTTTGCAAATTTCAAGGGAAAAATGTTGGTTTTTGAAAAAACATTTGTTGATGTTATCTTTTTTTAATATTGTAGTATTTTTTATTCCTTTTTTAAATTGTTTTTTTAGAACATTTAGACTTAAATGCATGTTTAGTTTTGGCTTGTTATTTTCATTTTTTTTTAGATAATTCAATATTTTTGTATGTTTAATTGCAGTTAAGGTTTTTTCCTATTTTTGTAATGGGATATCTCCTTCTATCTCGTTTTTTGTAAGTAAAAGGTAAAGTCAATGAGGATTTGGCCTTACCCTTTTGGTGAGAATAGAGTCAAAAACCTCATTATGAAGCTCGACAGTACTACCACTAAGGCCCAGGCCATTTTTTAAAAACCCTTTAGTGAGAATAGAGTCAAAGATCTCATCATAAGGCTAAGCAATACTACCGAGGCCCTAAGCCATTCTATAAAAGGAGGTAAAGTCGGTTGGGATTTGGGCCCCTACCCTTTTGGTGAGAATAGATTCAAAGACCTCATTGCGGGGTTCGACAATACCACAGCCAAAGCCCCAAGCCAGTCTCATAATAGCATTTCTCCTTGATGCGTCGCTCAAATGGAAACAAAAAATCCTAGAATAATGTAAATAAAATCCTAGAATAATGCAAATAGGACATTTTAAACAATTTTTGTTTTTCTTCTTCTTCTTTTTTAAAGTGGGATAGAGTTCTATAAATTAGCTCTCTATTATGGGGGGATATGGATATAGTCAAAATGGCATCGAAGATTTTAAGATGTAGAGAATATAGTATTTCAGGGTATATGGATATAGTCAGATTGGCACCAAGGATTCTAAGGTGTGCATAAATCGATTCAATGAATTGTCAAGAGAATTCAATGAGATGCAACAATATAATGAAGAGGAGACATTCGTTTTGGTCTAAGATTGTATTTTAATTGTTGTAAGCTCTATTTTGGACTTTGTATTAATATCCTAAATTATTATAAGTTTTTTTTTTCAATGATATGATGAATAATTAACAGAAATCCAAATAGAAAAACAACATTTCAGTATTCACGGATCTTAACAAAATAATTACAGTATATAATGCACCTACCCTAATTCTTTATAAACTAAAAAAATACTCTTTTTAAAGATTTCTAGTAATTTTTAGAATTCTTTTTGGCTGAAACCTTCTCATTCGCCAGATTCTCTAATAATAATCCCCGAAAACCTTCTCATTCGCCAGATTCTCTGATAATAATCACCGATTGGACACTGTTTTTGGGGTAGCTGATCCATGTCGCCGATCTGTTTTTTCAGACCTTATTGCAAACTTATGCAAACCACACCCAAACTTAAATTTAATAATGTAATAACAAAATAAATAAGTATATATTAATGGAGAAATAAAAAACCCAAATTTTACAAAGATTTGGTCTAATGGAAGATCTTAAAACTATCATAAAATAGTTTAAACAACTAATAAAACTTCAAACAGAAATTGAAATTCCAGAAACCCCCAGCCATGAACCATATCATTTAACGAAAAAGACCGAAATGGACGGCTCTGATAACCCAAAACACCTACACATCAATCAAATTTGAACTCCCCAGTAATAGAGTAAGGAAATGGCTAGGCTGGCACCATCCATCATGGAGATGTGCGGTGCGAATAATCTCACAACCATTTATTCTGAATCTCGACTGTCCACCTAAAGGACGGCCCTCCGCCTCACGTGCGGTTCACATGGGCAACACCACCGAGGAGAAATAAACGGTCCAGATTTCCCTAATACACGTGTCGTTCCCTGCCCCAACCAGAGCGCGCCCAACTTTCCATAAGCAAGAGGTAAGCGGACACGTGGATGTGATTAACCGCACGTGCTCAGGCGTGCGGAAAGATGTAATCGGGTTTGGAGAGAGAGAAACGAACCAAAGTAAAAGACTAAAACAAGGCGAGCAGCAGTGCCAGCAGTGCGAAACAATCGGGCCCTTCAATGTCTCTTAGACCCGGTTAAGCCGGTTGAACCGCTAACGGTTGCACGGCTTCGAGCCCTATGTACAAGCGGTTCAACTTCTTCCGCTTTGCGGGCTTCCGGCCCTTTGCGGTTAACCCTTCCAGTTCTATTTTTCCTGGACTGAACCAGAGAGATAAGGGGTACGAGTGAACTCAAACTGAAGAGAGGGGGCAGAATTACCGTAATTCAAGAGAAAAAAAAAGAATTGTCGAAAATCGAGAGAGAGGACTTTGTATTTCATTCACGTATACATTCTGTATCTTATATTGCGCATCCACTGTAACTGTACATACACCACAAGGCCCTTGAAACAAATAAAACTAAAGGCACAGAAATGAAGATGCCAAAATCAAATGAGCAAATACAGCTTTTTCATGTACATTGCAAATGAGATCCTCACCAGAACAAAAGAGAGGAAAAATCACTGAAAATGGAAAATACAAAAGTGAGAATCTCTGTACCTTTGATATCAACCCCTGCTCATAGGGGATCTCCCATTTAAATCCCTCTTCGTGTACCATAAAACCCTAATCGGGCTGGAAAGGGCCCAACTCCACCCCTTAGACTTGCACCCCCCTCCGAAAAACTTTCCAGCCGGAAAACCACCGGAGAAATCAACAGAAACCTCTGAACCTTGGAACCCCGCCGACTTGGATCTAGGAAACCTAAGCTCAACAAATTCATTACTGCATTTTACCTTCTCCTCTTTCTTCTTCTTGCTTGATCTCCAAAACTTCCAAAAAGAACCAGACTTTGTTTCTTCGGCTGATTTTGGACGGGAAATCTTCTCTTCGCCATTTTTTGGCTGGGAAATCGAATCTCCTGCCGTTTTCGACCGAAAAATGGGACTATGCGCCGATCTTGAGGACTTAGAGCGGGAAAACGCGCCTTCTTTATCTATTAGGGTAGAGATCCGACCAACTGCTCCTATTCCAGTGCCAGACTTAGATAAATCGGATGAAGAGAAAGATGAGGAGAAAGAACAGAAGGAAGAAGAAGAAGAAGAAGGAGCTGCTGATGAACAAGGACACGGGCGAGTCGCTCCGCAATCTGGACAAAGGCGACTTAACCGATTCCTCAGGCATATGGGACACACGCCATTTCCTTTCTGGTTTGGATGCTTTCTGCAACTTAATTCTTCCATTCTCTCTCCCCTCTCTGCAACTTTCTCTCTCAACAGCTTGCTCTTCCCGTAGGTTCTCTCCTCTCTTTCTAAATACCTCTTCTTTCTCTCTCTAGCTTTCCGTTCGATAGAGTTCAACTCGAATGTAACAACTGATATTTATACAGAAGCGCGTTTTTCTCTCTTCATCTCCATTACCCGTAAGCGCTCTGTTTCTGTTTTTATGACCAATTTATCCCCTGATATTTAACTTAATGGCCACCAAGTCCCTGTGCCATCTCCACTCCCTCGTTAACCAAGGGTTAACCAACGGTCCGAATTGAATCATTTGTTTGGTGGTCCCCATATTAGATCTCGACCGTCAAAGTGGAGGGGGAAAACAAAACGACTAACCATGGTTAGGTTAAAGTGGCGGCGGCTGTTCGGCTGGAGAGCCCAACCGGCCCACTATGCCGGCTCGGCTTGGGTAGGTGACACCGAAATTTAGCTTCCGAAACGTCGTAGATTTCGGACCAGAAACATTCGCTGAAATCGCGTCCATCCCCGGAGGAACCGGGACGAGACGCGTGAAATGCCCTCCTCGTTGCTTCTCACTCTGCGACATCTGTGCGGTGGATTTATTTAATCTGGATCGTAGATCTGAGGGAAAGGAGATTGGAGCCGTCCATTTGTGGGGTGCGTGTTTTGGTTGGCAGGGTGAAAAGGACTGAAACCATCCTCACCTATGTGACAATTACAGTTGCATGGGTTTTGCATAGTTTGGTTGAGTGCTGAAAGGGACTCTTTCTCTTTGTTGCAAACCCTAGGCTATGCACCATCTACCTACGCCTTTACCACCTCCATTATTTATTGTTCCTGTTTTTACTACAATCATGCGTGTGCAGATTCAGAGAGTTGAGGAGAGAGAGAGTGGTGAATTTAGTTCTTTAGAAAGAGAATGAGAACTACGTTGGTTTGTGGTAAATTTTGCTCTTTTTTTTTTTTAATGAGAAAGAGAGAAAAAATACTTTGGGTATTGGAATTTTTTATGCCTTTAAAATCATGAAAACTAGTATAAATATTGCAGATTTATGAACACTTATGTTTGGGGCGAAATGAATAATTTTAATTATGTATTACAATATCTAGTATTTTTTTTAGTTTAAAATGCTAATTTTTTTTCACAACCGCATAGTCAAGGCTGAGATGATCGATTTGAAGATTTTTTTATGTCAAAAATATAATTTTTTTACGAGTTTTGAAGTGAGGCTCCTTATCAAAACACTTAACACTTCCCTTTCTAAAGAAAAAATATACAAAGAGACCATTTACTTTTAATACAAGGACGTCACTATCACTTTTGTCCATCAGATTTTAAATCGGATGGTTGCAAGTGTATCATTGACTAGACTTTAAGTTAAAAAAAAAAAATTTCAAACTTTGTGATACATCGAAGCCATTCAATTTGACATCTAACGATTAGTATGAATTATGATCTCATTTTACAAAAAAATAAATAGTCTCGTAATATACAATATCTTTTCTAAAATTGATAATTTATTCGTTTTTCTACTAAATTGTAACTTTTTGTTCTATTTATATTTCAAAGCTTTATGGGGGGAGCCATGTATCCTCCTTTTAAGCGGCAATGTCATGCTCTGTGTTTCTCCTTTCTTTGAGTTGCCATGGTTTGGCCCCTGTTTCTCTTCTTTCATCAGCAAGGAAAGACTTTTTTAATGCTCGTCTGGTAGGTAAGCTATTACATGACAAGTTTATAAAAAGAAAACTTTATTCCCCTGCCGCTCTATGCTTACCCACTAGCATAGTGGAAGTTGAAATCTCACTTAGTAGACTATGAAAAATCTCTCTTGTACACACTGTTGAAATCTCACTTAGTAGACTATGAAAAATCTCTCTTGTACACACTAACACCTCTCTCTCTCTCTCTCTCTCTCTCTCTCGT